AGAGAGAGAGAGAGAGAGAGAGAGAGAGAGAGAGAGACTTACCCGTCTCCAACCTTGTTCCTCCTGCTTCCCGCCTGTCTCCATCCCCTTTCTTCCCGCCAGTCTCCATCCCAACCCCCCATCTTTCCCGACCCGCGGACAAACCCGGAAGAGAGAGAGAGACTAACCTGCTTCTTGGGCGACGGTTGCGGCTGGCTGGTACGGTGGCGAGGGCTGGACGATGGCGGCCGCTTGGTGGTTCTTGGACGCTAGCGGCGGCTTCGTGTTTCGTCGGCGATGGCCGAGGGGCTGCAGGGGAGATGCGCTGGGCAGCAGCCGGCGGCTTCCGAATAGCGCGCCCTTCAAACTCGAAAAACGGTCAGTTCGAAGTTCGAACTTCGAAAATGCTGGCCCTGCCTCCCGCCACCCCACCTGAGTCTGCACAGACTGTGGCGGGTCCAGCCTTCGACCTGTGTCCGGGAGGACAAAAAGAAGGTAAAAAATCGGCCTTTCATTTTTCAGGGGCCGATGAGGACCCCAAAAACGTCCTCCGAGGCCCCTTTTTTTTTTTCAAATTTTATTGGGGGGGGGCGCATTCCGGACGTCCAGGACCGTACACCGGACCCCTGCAAAATGTTTGGCATTGTTTGAAAACCAGTCCGGACATCCGGTCGGTTACCATGGTCTAGATCCTTGATCTTGACGGTGCCGTTTGTTTGCACGATTATTCCTTGTGCTTGCTCATGGTTTCCTTGGGACTTTTCAAGTCCCCGCCACTTTTCCTCCGTACTAGTTCCGTTTTCTTGTCCCGCCAGCGGTCCCGCCGGCGCGCGTCCTGTTTTTCGACCTTTATTACTTGGACCCACTTGGTCCCCGACAAAATTCCGGATGGCGTCCCATTTTTATTTTTGGACCCCCTTGCCCTTGGTGGCCCCAACATCTCTCCCTTAGGTGCTATATGTGTGCCGATTTTTCTAGGCAGTGAGATCTCATCTCACGGTTGCCGTTTACCGTCTTCACTTGCCTTATGCCGAAATTGCTCCTTTCTAGCCTTTTGGGCTCGCCGTGGCTCATTTTCCCCTAGCCTAGGCACCCCCATGCAGTCCGTTATTTCTCGGACTGCACTCATGGCTATTTTTCGAGTCCCACAGCCCCACAACTTGCCCCATGCTAAAAGAAAATAAAGCGTTAAATTTCTAAGTGCATCCGGGCACAATATTGGCTCCGGATGCATCAAAAACATGCCTTTTTCCTCCCCCATGTAATCCGTTATTTTTCGGTTGCATGGGGCTTTGATTTTCTTTGATTTTCTCTGCAAAAATCAAAGAAAATCAAAGTCCATTGCAACCGCCATATTCCAGAATGAATCTGGTTACGGATGTATCTTCCCAAGTGACCGTTTTTTACCATTAAGACCTAGGTTGTTGGATCGGACGTCCAGGACCCCCCTGACCGTCCGGGATGTCCGACCGGACGTCTGGTCCGACGTCCGACCGGACAGGGGTTGTCCGACCTAGCGCGAAAAAAAAAAAAAACAAAAAAAAACAAAGTTCTCAGGAAAATCTGAAAACATTATATGTTATGTAACATAACA